TATATATATATATATATATATATATATATATATATATATATATATATATATATATTAAAGTGTGCAGCGAAGAGAGATCCAGACAACGCGAAGAACGTTAAATAGGATCAGTGTTCATTGTGCAGTAGTACGAAATTGCTTCCACCACAGCATCTCCAATAATCGTCGCGCTCCTTCCATCTTCCATCTCCCGTCACCCCCTACGCCACTTATCCTCGTGTACATAGTCTTCATTCGTTAGATTAATGAAAAAAACGCGTATCATTCTCATGGTGTATTATTAACAGCGACAACAGCGAATATCATTATTGTTACACACTTATAAAGGCTATAATTATTTTTAATACAAAAACGTGTTGCAAAATCTCAGCCTCGAAGCCTCTCCTGGCGTTTCTTCTTATTTCTCCTACCGACCGCGACGTCTCCGACGTCATTATTTACGGCGCAAAAAAAAATTATACGGACTCGATCGTCGGTTGAGATCGGTCAACACATTCTCACGAGGAAATCTGGAAATTCCCGCGTCGTTAACGGGAGATATAAGTTTAGAGGAAAGAAGTCTGCCTTTTACACGTCGTCGGGCACGTTGTTCCGACCTGTCCGTTACGTTATAAAATGTTACACATTAAATGTAACGCGCGCAAAGTCAATAGTACCGAGATCTCTTGGATATCAGTTCAGTATTCGGATATTGATATATTCGTCATAACTTCATCGGGGATTTCACTTTTGGAGACACGTCGTCGTCATTGCTATTCCGGAATGTGAGAGAAAGTAGAATAGAATCCGCGGCGGGATCGTTGCAGTTGTGAGAGATACCGATGAAGCGACGGTTAAATCCGAAGTAGTAACGTAAAAATGTAGAGCAAGGACCGGCCGGTGCGGTTATTTCGAGTTTGCAGCGTGTAACGGTCTAGGCATTCCGAGAAGCTCGCAGGCTTCTTCCTTTTTCAGCGAGTTCAGTCTACAAAGGAGGATGGAGGAGAACGGTAGAGGGAACACGCGGTTGGTTTCAGGGTATATTTGGATGTTGCAGAAACGGGGCTTTCGTCTGAGCGAGTCCAACACGTAAGCGCGGAGTAATTATAGTATCGCGATGTATCAGGACGGAATGTTGTGCTCGAGAGGGAAGGAGAACGTATCTTCACTCGAGAGTGATTTTCAGATCGAGAATGCACACGGAAAAATATAAACTTCTCTCGAATAAATGTTACTTGTTTCGAGTATTTCATACGAGTTTGTGTATCCACTAATCTACCATAAGTTCGTCCTAAACGTCAAATTTATTCAACATACATCCTGAATTCTAGTAAGTTTAACGTCTCAATAAAAAATATTGAATTAAAAATTCAATTTGCTACATAGAGTCGAGCCAACTTTTTTTATGAAGTTTTGTGATATTTTCCTCTAAAGGAAAAAAATTAATTCTTTTGACTATATGATAAGGAACTTTTTGCAAATTTGTACTATGAATATATTTTAAAACTATTACGAAAAAAATATATTCTTTGTCGAAAATAATTATTAAAAGAAAAAAAATATACTGAGCAATCGCTTTTTTTGATAGTAGAATTATATTTTTCCGTGTGTGGGCTTTTTTAAATAACAGGTCAAATAAAATGTTCATAAGGCATGAACCTCTCAGTTCTTCATTTACTTTTAACGTTGTTCTACGTAATATTGTAGAATGAAAAAATTGTCATAAACAATTTTTACGTTATCTGTTATTGTACATTAAAACGAATTCGAAAACATGTAGCAATAGAAATCTGTCCTCGTAAACATGATGACGTGTTACTGACATAAAATATGTAAAATATGTAACTTCATTACCATTGACGTTAAATAACTCGAAGTATTTTTTACATAATTTCAACACCATTTTATTCTCAAAAAATTTCTCTAAACTTTTTATTCTCCACTATTACGTCTATTTGTCTCATATACGTCATTAATGATGTAATTTGTATAACGTTATTTTGACGGAACATGTTCACTTACCATGACATTTACAATCGAGAGATATCTGACTTATACATAGCATTGGTTGCTTTCCAGCAAGAGACACAAATCGACACAAGTATCATCCTATCTTTGCTATTCACTAAATGTGGAACAAAAACAGAATGATGTTTGTGTCGACTTATGTCTCTTATTGGAAAGCAACCATTATTATTCACAGGAAAATTAATTGTCAAAAACCTGATGGAAATATTTTACTAAAAATCTCTTTGAATTGGCCTCTTTTCACTAAAATTCATTACATTCATTTAAAATTAAAATTCTTTAAAATTCATTAAGATTCTTCAATATTAATTAAAATTTATTAAGATTCTTCAAGATTAATTAAAATTCATTAAAATTTGTAAGATTTATTTTATTGTTATATAACAATAAAATTAATTTTATGAATTTTAATAAATCTTAATGAAATTTACGAATTCTAATGAATGTTAATGAATTTTAATAAATTTTAAACAATTTTAATTAATCTCAAAGAATCTTAATGAATTTTAATGAAAAGGGATCAATTAAGAGAGATTTTCAGTAAATATTTCAATAAAATATTTCCATTCAGAGCGTATAACTATTACTATACAAAACTTTATGGTTATTGTTAACATTCAATAGTTCTCTATAATTATTCTGGTAAATTTTCGCTCGCAGTTACTGTCAACCGACAATAACTGTTAGCATCTGTTTTAAAAAGTTGTTATAAAGCGGCAATTTTTTAGGAATACTACTAAACTGCAATATTCATATACAATATTCTTATATTATATCAATATTCGTTGCATATCAACTATTGTTGTATGGTTATATTGTTTCCAATGTTTGCCAGTAAATATGTCATTACAACGTTTTTTATGAATATTATAAATATAAATTATACAGAGTGTCTCATAACTGATGATATAACCGGGAAGATGATGATTCTACATGAAAAAATAAATAAAAAACATAAAAGCCCAGTATTTAAAATTCAGTATTTATTAGCCCAGTATTGTAAAGTGGACGCTTTGAATTTTATAACCAATATAGAATTTCAAATATTGACAATTCATTTGTTACCAATATTGACTATATATTGGGTTATATTGGTCAAATATTCTCCCAATGTATGCCAATAGTTGTTTTGGGTCATTTCAATAAAATTTGTTTGAATTCAACAATTTGCAAACTTAACGTGGTAGAATCTAAATTTCGACTCGTATACTGAATGGAAACTATAGTTCTTCACAGTTATTGTAGAAGAAGAAAACTGTTAATCTATTCAAATTAACTGTATATTCTTTTACAGTTCTTCAAATAATTTTCTTTACAGTTTCTCGTTAAAATTGTTTTCATATAAGGCTTTGTTTTCGAGAAAATCGTCTTTCAAAATTCGTCGGGCACTTAACTATGTCTCGATTTATTAAATCTCGCTAAAGGCTATCCAGATAGCACAGAGAATTCTAAAAGAATTCAGTCGTATGTCACCAATTCTGAGTTTATTTTTAGATACAAAAAGAATTCTTCAAAATTCAGTTTAATGAAAAAAATTCTTTTTGCATCCAAGAATGAACTCAGAATTGTTGACATATGACTGAATTCTTTTTGAATTCTCTATGCTATCTGGGAAGCAAAGCAGCACACATTTATATAAGATTTATACATATATAGTTCTGTTAATAACAATTTAACGATCGCCTATACGTATAGATATTTTTGAGTTCGTCATTTACTTTGGTATTTCTTTAAAAGAAGAAATTCTTTCACAAAGTTGTCTCTTATCAGGAAAATTGACAATTATCTTGTTATTAAATTTAAATAAAATAATTGTCGGTAATATAGATGTTCTACTGTTAACCACAGGCTGTTTTATCGATCTGTTGGTACAATTGCGCTGACGTTTAATCGAGATTCAAATCCTACTTGACCAAGCCTCGAGATCAGACGCCTGAAGGAAAACTACAAGTAGTTGCGCGATAAACAACGAAAGGCGCTGCGAGCCCGATTTCTAGAACTTTCGGAAATTTGCGTTGATTGCGCCGGCACGAGTGACTATAAGTTTCGTGAGAAATCGCACGAGTCATTCACGTATTGTATTTCATTCCGGTGAGCGGTCTAGAACAATCGTCGTACACGAGGTAGAGACATATTATTCCAGCGCACGTAATGGATCAGGTAAAAACCACCTCTACGACGTGGATTTATTTGATCGACGACGCGAGAGAGACGCGATAAATGCGTCCGTATATAAATTGTATCCTCGGCCACGCTTCTTTAGCCACCACGACCAATACTTCTATCCTCGAATAGTGTCCCGTTGTTTACGGATTTATAAAAGAAACTCCACGTTTTTCTGTCAATATCCATGAGATTCAATTCTTTCATGCGAGGTTACGTTTCTAATTTCGGGTCAACTTTGTTCATTAATATATGAAAAAAATACATATTATTATGAAAGAAAAACACGAAAAATATTTTTATATTCTTTAGTTCTCGTATAAGTATATTTCAAGGTTACATTAACAAATATCATTAATATTTAAAAAAGAACTTGATATCATTGACTTTACTGACTCTTTAGATCTATGAAATTGTTATTGAAAATTATGCTATGTACATATTATTCTATATAGAATAAAACAATGTAAATATATAGACATTAATATAAAATTAGATATCATATAACCTATTATAGGTACATGAAACACTGACTCATGATAGAAACTTGTGTATAGATGCTTGCAATTGTTTCTTTTTCAATTTAGAATCAATCCTTTTAAAGTTTAGTAATTTTGCAATACATATTCAAGAAAGGTCACATCACGGGATCTTCTCAACTTAATATATTGCGGGAGAGATAGTTGAAAGTGATTTCCAAGAAAAACTAAATAGAAAACGATACCAGTTGTTGAGATATTATAAAATTTGAAATTTTGATACCTTTTCCAACATATAAATTACTGATGTAAACAATATGTTTATGTAAGTCAGTTTCTGTGAGTATGGGACAAACAGGTAAAAGCAACAAAGGCAATATTTACTTTTAACATGTACTAAAATACCAAGTTCTGGAAAGATTGGCAAAAACTCTTATGTAAGGTTTTCATTCTGTTGAAATATGATTCAAATCTTTTGCCTTACATAATCGATGAGTTGTAGATCGTAATAACAAATGATATAAAGATTAGCAAAATTCTGTAAGATTTGAGTTCAGATATGTAGACATTTATCATGGAATATTTATTAAAACGAAAATATGCTATTTTAGTATATGAAAAAAAATATAGTATATTTTATTATATATTTGAGTAATGTCACTTAAGTTCAAACTAATCTTCTTATGTAAGTCTTTGCTAGTCTTTTCAAGATCTATTATTTTAGTACATGATAGACTCGTCAATCTAATAAGTCAAGAATAACTAAATGTTTTTGATATACAAATATGATATATATAATAAAAAACAAGTTTCTATAGGAAAACAATTACATATTGAAAACAATTTATTGTAAGAGATGAATAAGACTGCCAACTATCGAAAAATAACTATTCTTTTTAAATATATAAATTTTTCCAGATACATTGTATTGTTTACAACATCATCTTATAATATCTAGAAAAAAAGCATCCAAATTTTAAATTTTATTTTGTTATATTTCAACATCTAATGTCAGCCCACTTTTCTGCTGAGAAATTTCACACTTTCAAATATCTGCCGTACAATATACAAGGTATTTGACAATTAATAATGTATCTGTTGTATGCAGGTAAAATTCATCAAACCAAACACAAAATTTCTCTACCATTTTGTAAACAATTGTGTAGAATTTTGAATTATTGATTAAAGAAAATTGATGAACAATCACAATCTGAGTGGAAAGATCTTCTATCATTTTGCAAAAAAACTACGTAGATTTTTAGTTATTAATTAAAGAAGATTGATGCATTATTGCTGACAATCATGCACCAATCTTTTTTAATTGATAACTAAAAATCTACGTAATCATTTGCAAAATGGTAGAGGACTTTTTCTTTTAGTTGGACTTAATGTACGAGCATATGATGGCAAACGTCGTCATCACAGCTCATCTACCGAATCTTCCTTAACTAATAATTAAAAATTTTACATGATTTTATGCGAAATGGTAAAGGAATTTTATAGTTGAATGAGTCCTGCCTGCACACAACAGATATGTCACTAATTTTCAAACACTCTGTATATCAATATCAAAAGTATCAATGTAACTTTTTCTGAGTATTAACCAATTTTGTTGTAAGATCATGATATTTGTTGCTTATATTGTTATTAACGGATGTAATATTCAATGGAGGAATTTGTGTAAATGAATGAAAGTTGTTCTAATCTTAAATTACATATGATTAAGACTGCAATCTTTATATATTGCTTTGCAGGTAACATTGTTAAAAGAAAGTGGGAATGCTGCTTTACAAGAAGGAAAGTTTGATGAAGCCATCAAGTGTTATACAGAGGCAATTGCTTTGGATGGCAATAACCACGTGCTTTATAGTAATCGGTCGGCAGCGTACGCCAAGGCAGAGAAGTATAAGTTAGCATTGGACGATGCCGAGAAGACAGTTAATTTGAAACCAGATTGGGGCAAGGGTTACTCGCGCAAGGGCAGTGCTCTGGCTTACTTGGGTAGATACGATGAGTCCATCAGCGCTTATGAGAAGGGCCTGCAGTTAGATCCGAGCAATGCACAGCTCAGGAGCGGCTTGGCCGAGGTGAAAACACAGAGATCGGCGGCCGCGACGAATCCATTCAATTCTCCGGATATTTTTATTAAATTAGCCAACGATCCCAGAACAAAGGGCTACCTGTCCGATCCTAGTTATATCAAGCTACTGCAAGAGCTGCGAAGTAATCCGCAGGGTCTTGGCACTAAGCTGCAAGACACCAGAGTACTTACGACTCTCAGTGTATTATTGGGAATGAGCGACATAGAGGAGCCGATGGAAACCGAGCCGGCGATGCACGCACCGGAAGCACCGAAGGCCAAGCCGCAAACGAAGCCTGAGAAGAAGGAGGAGGAGAATCTGTCGACGGAGAAGAAGAAGGCTCTCGAAGAGAAGAATCTCGGGAACACTGCTTACAGAAAGAAGAACTTCGAAGAGGCGCTACAGCACTACAACAAAGCCGTGGAGTTGGACCCCACGGAGATCATTTTCTTACTGAACATCGCGGCGGTATATTTCGAGCAGAAGGAATACCAGAAATGTATCGACCAATGCGAGAAAGCCATCGAGATCGGCCGCGAGAATAGAGCGGACTTCAAGCTGATAGCAAAGGCGTTTACGAGAATCGGTCACGCTTACCAGAAGATGGCAAACTGGAAGCAGGCTAAAGTCTACTACGAGAAGTCCATGTCGGAGCACAGAACGCCGGAAATCAAGACCCTGCTCTCAGACATCGACAAGATCATTAAGGAAGAGGAGAGGAAGGCTTACATTGATCCAACGAAGGCAGAGGAGGAGAAGGAACTCGGTAATCAAAAATACAAAGACGGCGACTATCCCGCGGCGATCAAGCACTACTCGGAAGCCATCCGGCGCAATCCGGACGATCCCAAGTACTACAGCAATAGAGCGGCCTGTTATACCAAATTGGCGGCATTTGACCTTGGGCTGAAGGATTGCGAGAAGGTCGTTGAGCTGGATCCGAAGTTCATCAAAGGTTGGATTAGAAAAGGGAAGATTCTGCAAGCCATGCAACAGCAGGGCAAGGCGCTCACGGCGTATCAGAAGGCCTTGGAACTGGATCCACAGAATAGCGAGGCGTTAGATGGTTACCGTTCCTGTGCTGTATCCGCTAATTCCAATCCCGAAGAAGTCAGAAAGAGAGCGATGGCGGATCCGGAAATACAAAGTATACTGCGGGACCCAGCGATGAGATTGATCTTAGAACAAATGCAGAGTGATCCACGAGCTCTACAGGAGTGAGTATTGTGTGTCGATATGGATACGTGAATAATTCAATCATATATTTTCTAAGAAATTAATAATTTATATAAAATTTATTTGTGTTATTTATTTGTTACACACACACAGAAGAGGTTTGTTCAAAAAATAATACTGACCTACAAAAAAAAACTGATTTTGTCACGTGGATCAAATTATATGTTCTACATAGTATTTTTTATACTGAATTAAAAAATGCAAACAAACTTTTTATACTCAGGATTTCCCAGTGATGTCATTTTTAACTTTCAAGAAAATTGATTTTCTCTGTATGTACAAAAATTATTTATTTAATTTAAAATGTAGAAACTAGTTATTTTCTATTGTATATAGCTCTTGTTCTATTGTATATAGCTATTGTTATGCCTCTTTTCAAAATAAAAAGGAAGGGATGGCGAAAAGGCGCGAAATCGGCCCCCCAAAGACTATTTTATGAAATGAGATGATGGAGATTAACTTTTTTTTTTAAGTCTGTAGCATGTAAGGTTTACGAATGTAATAAACATTTTTTTAGTTCAATTCTGATTACAAGAAAATATTTGCCGAAGTTGACTCCCCAAACAGTACAAGATATCCTAAGTTGTCTCAGGGATGTTCTGAGGACATAGAAACATCCTCAGGATATACTCTGCACGTCCTTTGGATATCTGTGCTGTTAGAGTCTTCTTACGAAAATCCTCAAAAATAGCAATTTTTTTATTTTTACTTTGTTATTTTACATACGCAATCGAGTACCAAAGAGATTTTCATATATGTGATGTGATATGTAGGAGTGTATAATCTCTAACATAAATAAAAATGACTGTAGTACTACTGAAATTTGCGCTCATATTGAAAAATAAATATTAGCGAAATCTTTGTTCCGTACGACAGTTAATGCCGTATTGAAAGCGACGGGCGAATCGTCTGGTGCATGAATAATCAAGAAATTAATGAAGAAGTTTTAATCTTATTTTATTTTATTATTGTGCATTAATAAAAACATTTAACGCATTAATTTATCTTTTATCTGGGATATTCTATGATTATTGTCGATTGTGAATGATAGCTTGTAAATTCCACAATAAAGCAAATATTAAGATATATATCATTTTTTTTAAAGAATATCAGGAAATTTACTAGTGATATATCATGAAAAAATTAAAAAATAAAAAGAGCCAAAAAAGGCCCTTTTCGCCACTCTTCCTTTATCAGTTTTGTACCTAATTAGAGAAAAATTGTTAATCTTAATGAATTTTTATAGATAAATATATTAGTTTTGAAAAGAACTTTGGTTCTTTTCTCCACAACTTTTCTTCACAACTTTGGTAGAATTATGAAATAATAATTTTATGAAAATTGTTCTTAATATTAATAATACTTTGATATCCAGAATTTAGAATTAAATTGAATTGTGAATTGCGTGGAATATCCTATAGTGAATATATTAAATCTCAGATGACAATCATAAAAAAGAAAAACTTGGTGATGGAGAAATTCTGGATTTATTTTCAGTTTTTACACATAAAAATATATAAGCATATCAGAAATTCCATATGACAAATTATTTATCAACTAGCATATATATTTTATGATAATTGCGCTCTTTGTTATTTTAGATATGTTATTTTATAATATACAGATAATATAATATTCAGTAATGGATAAAAAAGATCTCAAAATAATGTCTGTTTTAATATGATAAATTCAAATCCTTCTTTGTTGAACATGAATATTAATAAATCTTTTTCTTCTTTGCAGCCACTTGAAGAATCCCGACATAGCGGCTAAATTGCAAAAACTTTTAGAATCTGGTCTCATAGCTATTCATTGAAGACGTAAGGAAACGTACATTACATATTTGTAATAATGAAAATACAACATTCTGTTATTATACATTTTCTCAACAAACGCACGCAAGTTTCTTTAATATTAAGGTAATCACATTCAAATGTATTCCAGATACTCTAACCACATGGATACTTATCGTCATACTGCTCTTAAAGAAACAAAAATCTGTGTTCAAAATATCACTCGAAGTAGAAGTTACGTTGTACACACGATTCTTTCATGCGGATGCAGTGGCCTTTAGTGTCATCGACGACTTTTGCATCGTGAGTCTTGTCACACAGTGATCATATGTATACTGATACATATATATAACATACATGTGTGAAGCTTTTTGTGCAACCAAGGAAAACAAAGTGTAACCTGATGGAGCTGTGAACTCTTGTGTAATATTTACATAAAAAAAAACTTACAGTTGAATTGGTGGCTAAGCTATGAATACCACTACCTTGGTAATTGACACGCAATAGCGCTATTGTATGTTTCAGATAAAAATGCATTAAGCTAATAATCTATTAAAATAGTAATTTCTTCACCTAAAATTATTTCTGTATATGAGGCAGATGTTAGATTTACATTTTACCATAATGGTTTAGTTCTTAGTACTGATGTTATAATGAATATAAAGTAAAACTAAAATGAAAAAGCAAGTAATACGAGAAACGCTTACAGAATAAAAACTTTTTAAATTGAATTGTCTACATGAGAATGTTGTTCTTATTAGTGGTTTCTTCATTAGATCCATCCTGTGTGCTTAGTGACAAAGTAGGAAAAAATATTGCTTAATTATAGAAATACAAAGATCACTCTGATCTTTATCGTTTAGCGCTATTTAAGGATGTATCTGAGGTACAACTCAGGTAGCAAACTCACGTTAAAATGACTTCCACATCTGATCAATTCATGACCAAAAATGTCAAAATGACGGTCTAATGTCACAGACCGATGACGACATCTTAAGACGACTTAATGTCTCTAAACATCAATAACACATCATTAAGACGTCATTATTTAGTCACTTGACGTCAATTGACCAGTTATGACCAGTTTTTGTCATTTTGACGTGAGTCTGGGAACTAACACCACGAAAATTCTGATAGAAGAAGTCAGAGAACATTTACCAATATTAAATAAGAAAAATTATATATATTTCAATAAACTTGTATGTTAACAACTAAAGCACATTTAGGTTAAGATATATTTATTTCTTTAACACAGATCAGTAAAATAAAAATACATCTTTATTTATCCATACACATTTGCAAGAGAATATACGTTAATTATAATGAAAATAATATATATACTTTTCTATTCACTTCTCAATGGCCGATATTCATATTTAATATAATATTAATATTCCGATCTTATATTTAAGACCGCTTAAGTTTATCTTCAGATGATGTACGGGTTATTTCATTGGCTACGGAGTATCTGAAGATGAACTTAAGCAATCTTAAATATAAGATCTGACTATGAATACCGGCCAATGGGTGTTTTCCAATTGCTTAAGGGGGAAGTCTACTGTAAAATTTTCAAAAAATCAATTTTTTGTTTATTGGCTTAAAAAATACTTTGAACCCTCTAAAATAAG